CCCCAGAGTCAGCACCCCCAAGCTCAGCACCCTCAGCAGCACCAGAGTCACCAGTAACCTCGACAGGCTCGACTGCGTCTACCTGGGACACACCTGAAGGGGCAGGACCCTGAGGGGGGAGGGGGTCTACCGAGGGGGGATCTGGCACAAGGAAGAGCGGGGGCGGGGGGAGGGACGGAGTGCGGTAGGGGAAGAGGCGGTAGTACGGGACCGACTCGTCAAACGTGACGTCCTGGGAGGACAGAACACGGCAAGAGGTGGGGTGGTAGAACTGCCACCCTGGCGCGTCAGGGGGGAAGCCACGGAAGACGCAAGGAGCAGCACGAGGGGACAGCTTGTCCACAGACAAGTCGCGGACAAACGCCCGAGATCCCCAGACACGGAACGCAGACGCATCGCCAACCTTCCCCATCCACAGCAAAGCTGGGGAGGTCTCCGGCCTGGAGACCCTGGGCTGAAGGTTGATCTGATGCGCCGCGTACCGAACCGCAAACGGCCACAGAAAATGGGGGGCAGCCGCATGCATCATGGACGTACGGGCGACGTCCATGACCATGCCAATGCGGCGCTCAGCAATCCCATTTTGCTGTGGAGAGTCCGGAAGCGTGAAGGTCTGGCGGATGCCTCGTGCACGACAGTAGGCTCGCAGAAGGCAAGAGGAGAACTCTCCGCCTCTGTCAGAGTGCAGACGCAGAACAGGAAAGTCCGAGCCGAAGCTTTGCCTGAGCTGGAGACGAGCTGCGCGGATCCAGTCGATCAACACCTCAGTGACATCACCCTTGCTGCGCAAGGGGAAGACTGTGGTGTAACGCGAGTAGTCGTCAACCACCAGCAGGAAGTAGCGCTCGTGACCCTGTCCACGGACGCGGGCCGGGCCCCACACGTCCATGTGAAGCGTCTGCAGCGGGGCCTCTGTCGGAGGAAACTGGGAGGAGTGAGGGGCAGCCTGCTGCCGCCCCTTGACACAGGGGACGTAGGCAGGGGCAGGCCCCGGGGGAAGGGGAGGGAGGGACCGGGGAAGACCAGAGACGAGGAGACGGGAGGCCATGCCTCGGAGACGAAGCAGGGAGGGGTGACCAAGGCGGTGGTGCCAGAGGAGAGTCTCGTGAGACAGGAGGCGACACGAGCAGGGGGCAGACTCAGGGCCAGACCTGGACGCTGCAGCAAACACCTGACCCGACGCAGCTACCTGACTAGACGCAGTGACTGGAGGAGACGCAGTGGTCAGTGTGTACAGGCTCGACCCCGGCCGACGTGTAAACGTGGCCAGGTGTCGGCCTGTCCGAGCGTCCGTGCAGTGGGTCACCCGCTGACTCGCAGAAGTGAACTGGTGAACCCCCGCATCCTGTAGGTCAGCACCACTCACCAATTTCGTAGAGAACGAGAGGAGGTAAAGACCAGACAGGGTGCCAGAGGGGGCCGCCGGACACGGGAGGACAATGGAGAAGTGAGCAAGGACAGGACCCCCAGAGGGGTCTGCCAGAGAGACTGCAACTGGCTGACTAAGCGGCGTGAGTGTGGTGCGGTCTCGAAAGAAGGAGCGAAAAGCCCCCGAGTCAAGGGTGAAGGTGTGGGAGGCCAAAGGCGACGCGATACCTGAGAGAGCAGACTCACCAGCACCTGAGGAAGCAGACGCACTGGCACCAAGAGCAACAGCCTCGCTAGCACGAAGAGCAGCAGCCTCACCAGTACCTAGAGCAGCAGTCTCAATGCCCGGGTCGGGCGGAAAACACCGGTAACAGTCACCCTCATCACTAATAGTCACAGCATACATGGCAGCAAGAATAGCATCAAAGTCAAGGTCAAAGACAGCTACTCCCGCCCTAGACAGCTCGCCCCAGCAGGGGATCTCAGTGGCCTCCGGGAACTGGTGACGCCAAGCGTCCGTCAGGCGGCCAAAGCAGCGCTGGGTGGAGTGCGCACCCCCGCACTGCTCACCCGCGCGGTCGCGGGTGCGTAGGACGTAGGTGCACGGACCAGTACCCCCACCACGCTGGCGTGCAGCATACCACTCACGGAGCTACTGAGGGGGGGGGGCGTCACGAGTGCGCTGCTGCTGCTGCTGCTGCTGGCCCTAACCACCACCGGAGCCGACCCTCTGCGCAGCGCCACCCCGACCAGCTCCACCTCCTCCGCCACCGCCTCCTCCACCGCCGCCACCTCCGCCACCTCCGCTCCCACCGCCACCGCCGCCGCCGCCTCCGCCTCCACTGCCGCCACCGACACCTCCACCCCCGCCACCACCCCCACCGCCACCCCCACCCCCTCCACCGCCTCCACCGCCGCCTCCACCGCCCCCGCTAGCTCCTCCAGCGCCCCTGGCCCCCTTGCCCTTGCCAGGGCGGCGTCTCCTGCTAGGGGTAGACGCCGCACCGACCGACTCAAGACCAACGAGGTCGGCCGCAGCAGCAGAGGCAACAGAGGGCAAAAGGGGGGAGGGGGAACACCCCTCAAAGACGGGGGTGCGAGGGTCACCACGAGAGGCTCCTACAGCGACTATGCTCTTCTCTGCTGCTAGGAGGGCCTTCTCGAGGAGGTCAACGGTGAGAGTGGTGGGGCAAACTGAGAGGAAGTGGTCCCGGACTACGCGAAGGGAGTCAGGGAGCCGGGTGACTATGTAGTAGAGGGTGATGTACATGGGGGGGGGGTTCTTGGCGCAGAACTCAGCAGGAAGCGCAGCGCGGTAGCGAGTCTCACTAGTGCGGAGGTACGTAATGAGGTCAGCGACTGTGGGAAAGGCAGCAAGGTCAGGGAAGAGGTACGGTAGCATGAGGCGGCTAAGTGCAGCAGTGGCAGGGGAGGAGTAGCGTGCAGCTACAGCGTCGTACAAGGTCTTAGCACTCTTGTACTGACTAAAATGCGCGCGCTCAGCAGTAGGCAAGTGGCGGCGCACAGCAAGGCGGGCAGCAGCATCGCGCATGGCCCACTGTGAGCGAACAGTGGGGTCAGCATCAGCAGCAGGGGCAGGGGAGGCACCAGAAGTGAGGTCAAAGAGGGAGAGACCGTCTGCCCTATGGCACTGGAGGAACAGCTGCAGATCATCTACCCAGACCTCAAAGTCAACAGCCCGACCCTCACCGTCAAAGGTGAGAACGCTGGGGGTGGCCATGACAGCAGTAGACCAGCAGAGAGAGGAGCAGGGTAGGGCAGTGCAGTGGCAGAAGCGCTGTTCTTACCAGGCAGGGGGAACGGGCCGAGGTAGTGACTGCGGCGGCTCGGCTGCAAGGCGGCTCGGCGGCTCGGCTGCTGGGCGGCTCGGCGGCTCGGCTGCTGGGCGGCTCGGCGACTCGGCTGCTGGGCGGCTCGGCGGCTCGGCTGCTCGGCTGCTGGGCGGCTCGGCGGCTCGGCTACTCGGCTGCTGGGCGGCTCGGCGGCTGGTGTGGCTGGTGACGACCGCGGCAGCAGTTGCAGTGGCTGTGGCGACTGCTGCTTCAGAGACGGCGGCATGTGCTGCCTCAAGGACGGCGGCGGCCGGCCGCTAGGGGCCGCGAAGGGCTGTGACGGACCGTGAGGAGGCCGCGGAAGGCGGCTCGAGGGGCCGCGAGGGGGGGGCGTAAGGGGCCGACGGGCGGCGTGAGGGGCTGTAAGGGGCCGCGAGGGCGGCTCGAGGGGCCGTAAGGGGCGGCGCGGTGGGCCGGAAGGGCGGCGTTAGGAGCCGTAAGGGCGGCACGAGGGGCCGAAGGGCGGCGCGACGGGCGCGACGGGCCGTAAGGGCGGCGCGGCGGGCCGTAAGGGCGGCGCGACGGGCCGTAAGGGCGGCGCTAAGGAGCCGTGAGAGGGCCGCTAAGGGCGACGCGACGGGGCCGTGAGGGGCCTAGCGAGGGCGCGACAGTAGGGAGAGCACACGGGGCGCGACTCGGGCCGGAGCGAAGCGCGCTCCGGGCAGGAAAAAAAAAATTCGTGGTGGTGGGCCCTAGGAATCGTTCCCACTAGGGAAGCTGCTCGATACCATGAGAAGAAACGAGGAATGATTGAACTATGAAACAGTTGGGTACAAGTACTAACCCTAATTGGGTTGTACCCCTTATGGGCTACCCCACTACAGCCTACACAAATGTATAAGCTATAATGTTCTGACACAATACGCGTTAAGCGAGTTACCAAACATGTTAAGCGAGTTACCAAACGCGTTAAGAGAGTTACCAAACGCGTTGAAATCGTTATCGTACGCGTTATACTGCCCCAGGTAAAGTTACCGTTGACATATTTTCCCTTGACTCGATACCCTACTTTCCAGGTTGTATCCATAACCTCTTTCGATCTACACTACAAACAGACGATGGATAACATGGTAGTCTATAGCATTCCATAACTCAAAAGTGGAGTGTGGATTGATTCGTCATGCCACTGAACTAAGTGCATCACAAACCACGTGATTCATCTTTCACAACACCTTGCTTTCGACTAATTTCTCCGTCATTCTGCCCCCCATATTCCCCTTCCTCAACATGTAACTCTATAAGTGCTCTTCTTGCTGTTTCTACTGGGAAAAACGTGGTGGCTATTGCTGCTGTTAGCGGGACTGCTACAAAGAGGGACAGCGCTGTAGACAGTTTGCAGTCCTGAACCAGAGTGACAGCCACGTAAGGACAAACGATGCCACCCAAGCGGGAGAACGAGCTGGCAAAGCCGAGGCCAGAGGATCGGACAGATGTGGCGTAGAGCTGCGAGAGGGGATGGGGGGAGAGGCGAGTGGGTACAGAGTGGGGAGAGGAGAGGGGGGAGGGAAGGGAAAACGAGAGGACGGGTAAAGGGGGGATTACGAAAAGGCTAGCCCGTGCCACTACTGTAGCTTATGCAACTGCTGCAGCGTCTGCTTACAACTACAGCCAGCAAATTAAGGCAGATAACAGCCGCGAGGAAGCCACATGTGAACGAACAGCACCCAGCACAGACACTCCCCCGCCTCTGGTGTGACAGCATGAACGAACATGAACATATCTCTGAGGCAGATCTCTCATCGTTCAACAAAAGGCGCCACAGAAACTGCTTGAGGCAGCTTACGAGCCGGCAGAGTGGCTCACCTCTGGTGCGAACATGAACAGTGTCTGAAACGACCCCATGATTGCCGCCCTTGCAACAAACAGCACCGCTACAGTGGCAGCCGGCCGGGCGGCAAGCGCGAGAACAGACAAGTCCGGGAGGAGGGAGTGGAGGAGGAGGGGGAGGAGGGCGAGGGCGGCAGCAGCAAGCATGGCAGCGATGGTGGTGCGCCGACCCACACGATCCACTATAAGAGCAGAGAGCAGCAGGCCGGGCAGCTCTGCTGCACTCGTTATAAGCACACCGAAGAACAAGGGCTGCCCTAGCCGCTCCACTGCGTCCCTTGCTGCTGCCTCTGCTCCGGAAGCAGCAGCAGCGGCAGCAGTCGCAGTAGCAGCAGCACCGACAGCAGTTGCAGCAGTCGCTATGCTATCACCAGCAGCGCCTACAACACCGCTGGCAGCAGCAGCAGTTATCGCAGCAGCAGAGGCAGCAGCAGCAGCAGCAGCAGCAGCAGGGGGGCAGGCAGGAGTGGCGGCAGTGAGCTGCGTGGTGAGCAGCACGAGGCCATAGTAGGAGAATGCATTGGCGAAGAACACCCCCCACAGGAGCAGCGTGGTCGTGAGAAGAGGCGGAGAGAGCAGCTGGCGCAGGGCTGGTGGAGGGAAGGAGGGGAGGGAGCGGTTCCAGCTGTTCCGCTCACTCGCACTCTGCAGCTGAGGTGCGCCTTCCTCTGACTCTCCCCCTTCTGTTTTTTCCACCTGAGATCCGCCCTGAGACCCGCCGCCCCCTGCAACCAGGCTGACCTGTCCTGCTGGCAGCGGCCTCCTATTGAGCCTTGCCACGTGTTGCAGCACTGCCAGCGCATCCAACGGCCGAGATTTCACCAGAAGGTACCTCGGAGATTCAGGAAGCAGTGGGAAGAGCAGCAGCAGCAGAAGGAGAGGCAGCGAGGAGAGAACGATGAGCCATCTCCATCCCAGCACTGGCAGCACGGCCCATGCTAGAGCAGCTTCGGCGACCGATCCGACGGTCCAGAAGAGAGAGAGGGCGAGCGACCAGAAGCCGCGGGAAGCGGGTGGCGTGAACTCGAGGAAGAGCGAAAAGATGACGGGCGCGCCACCCAGGCCCGCCCCGACAAGTGCTCGGGCGGCGAGGAGGAGAGGGAAGGAGGGGGCGAGGGCTGAGAGGAGCGCTGCTAGGAAGGTGAGCAGGGCCGTTGCTGTGAAGGCAAACCTGCGATTATGTGGTTGGGGTGGGTTGGGGGAAAGAGAGGGGAGGAAGAGGCGAGGGAGAGAAAGAGAGGAATGGATGAGGTGTGGGTGGGGCAGGGATAGAGGAGTATTCCCACCAGAATACCTCAACTCAGCCGTTCACTCATCGCAGCCCCCACGCGAACGCGCCCACCAGCATGCCCGCGAGTGTTGAGAGCAGCCTGACCTGACCAAAGAACATCACCCGTTTCCTGCCTTTCTCCCCTCCCCCACCATCGTCTCACCTGCGCCCGCGGCTGTCCGCCAGCAGCCCCCACGCGAACGCGCCCACCAGCATGCCCGCGAACACTACAGACGACAGCGCCGCCTCACCGTCGCCGCCCACGCCAAAATGGGCGGCAGCGGGGGCGGCAATGAATGAAAGCAGAAGAAGCTCCATGGCCTCTGCCGCCCACGCCAGGCCGGCATACCCCAGCAGCAGCCAATGAAATGCGCCAAATCCAACGGCGGAGAGCGCATCGTCCACCGTGTAGCGGCGGCTCGAATCATCCCCACCGTCCATCGTGTCGACGTCGCCGATTCGCCGGTACGTGGCTCCTTCACCGCTTGCGCGCCGAGTCGTCGCACGGGTCATCATGCTTCCGCCGGCCTGGCTGCTTCGTGTCCCCAATTTAGCATCACTCGCTATAAGAAAGCCTCTTTGCCACCCACATGGAACTGCGCGCGATCCGTTTCCGGAATTTCCGCCTCGCCGGGGATTCGAGGCGGAGTAGCGCGGTAAGAGGGATGCGGATGCTCTGAGGTGGGGCGTTTTGCGCCCGCAGCTACGGCGGGAGGGGCAATTTTGCGCGGAGAGAAGGAAGAAGGGGCGGTTGTGCGCGGAAAGGAGGCTGAGGTGCGAACGGAGGAGGTTCGAAGCGCAGGAGCGAGGGTCGGGGATTACAGTAGCTGGTAGCGGAGCCATTAGTAGTGGGGATATTGAATCCAAATGGCGCACATTCGTTGGATTTGTATCTCTCCACTTGTGCTGTATATGCTAGCAGGGGATTTGGTGTTGATTTGCATAAAAGCTCACTCAATACTAGCAGCTGTCGGATTGTCATGCAACACATTCTTCATTTCATTACGAGAACTTTGAATGACGAAAATGTGGGTTTCTCGCGAGTTTCGCTAACATCAAAGTCGTGGCCGCTCGTTCGCCTAGCCACGCGTTGACTCCCAGCACCACGTGGCGTTCTGAGGAGCTTCCCGGCACTCCTGGAAAGCGTCGACTTGCAACTGTGGATTTCCTTTCCCGCCCTGCCAAACCCAAGGTCGGCAGGCTCAGGGAGTGGCCGGAATAACCAGAGCCTCTAGTTTCTCCTCTCCACTCCACTCGAGCACGGATGCACGCAAAGCTTTTGCCTGGAGTGTGAAATCTCGTTCTTTGCTCTGAGCTGCTGTTCCCGCTTGACTTGCTCTTCTAGCCGAGATAAGAAAGATTCTACCTTTTCGCTAGATTGTCCTGACATCCAGCGCGTGCCTCAGCTTTCCGTTCCTCGACTTCCGCGTTCTTGCGTTCTCCGTAGTAGCGTCCGTCTTGCACACGGTGCTGTCGCAGGCGTTTCTGTCGCACACGTTACTGTCGCGCGCGCTGCTATCGCACACGCGGCTGTCGCACACGCTGCTGTCGCTCCGTCCCGGCCTACCACAATCCCTCCTTTGTCCGACGTCAGTTCCCTAAATCTCCTTTGCCATGCTGTGTCATCGCCAGGCGAGCGCACTTTGCGCCGCGGACCCGCAAATCCGCCCCCTTTCCCGCGACTCCGCGCGCAGAGCTCCTCACTGCGTGCGCATCACCGCAACGGCGCAGATTCCCGCGTCGAGGAACGAGCGCGCGCTAAGCAGCACTGCCACTTCCGCCACTCCCTCCCCCGCGCATAGCCCCAGCGGCAGCTCCACGCTTGAAAGCGTTTCCGCTGCTAGTGTTTCCGCCGATTCACCCCCGCCGAATGGCTCCGCGCGTCCCCTTACAAACGGATCAGCGACCAACGGCCGCGCGAAGGGCACGGGTGGGGAAAACGGGGAGGGAGAAGCGGAGAGGGAGCGGGCGGCGATGCGCGCAGCGATGCGGGAGCGGACGAGGGTGGTGCGCGCGAGGTACGCGCGCGTGAAGGACGTGCGGAAGGAGCACATTCCCCCCGACGTGTTCGATTACCTGCGCGCCGTGCAAGAAGTCATTCAGGGGAATCAAGGCGGCGAATCCCGCGCGAGCAGCACTGCATCTGCTGCGCCTTTCCCTTTGCCCTTTCCCCCGCTCCCGCTGCCCTTCCCCCAGCTCCCCCTGCCCGCCCCCCTGCCGCCGCTCCCCCTGCCCGTCCCCCCGTTCCTGGAGTCGCTATTCCCCGGGTCCGCGGGGGCCGCCGTTGAGAGCAGCGCAGGCGCGGGGAGCGAAGAGCGCGCGGCGGAGAAGGCGGAGAGCGGGCCTCCGCGGTTCCTGTGCCCCGCGGATGCCGTTCCGCCCAGCGACGCGGGGCTGCTTCCGCGGCTCTTCTTTCTGCCAGGTGGGGGAACGCGGAGAGCGAGGGGCGCGGGGAAGAGGAGAGCGCTGAGCGGGATATGCGATGGGCATGGAAGACGGGAGGATTGTGGGCGGAACGAGAGGATGAGTGTGATGCGGGGGAGGATGAGGGGGGTTGGACGCTGATGGCTGGAGATTCAAGAGCTGGTGTGAGCTGGTGTGGGCCGTGTAGAGATGTATGTGGTGGTGAGGGTGCTGCGGTCCTGCAGAGGTGTCCCTCTTGGTTCAGAGTTCGTGGTTGGTGAGATGCTGATGCTCATGCTGATGCTGATGCTCATGCTGATGCTCATGCTCATGCTCATGCTCATGCTCATGCTCATGCTCATGCTCATGCTCATGCTCAATCTCATGCTCATGCTCATGCTCATGCTCATGCTCATGCTCATGCTCATGCTCATGCTCATGCTGATGCTAATACTGATTGTGATGCTGATGCTGATGCTGCTGCTTATGCTGATGCTGATGCTGATGCTAATGCTGATGCTAATACTGATGCTGATGCTCATGCTGATGCTCATGCTCATGCTGATGCTGATGCTGATGCTAATGCTAATGCTGATTGTTCGCTGGTAATGCTGATGCTCATGCCGATGTTGATACTACTCTTGTGCTGCGTGCAGGCATCGAGGGAACGGGGTTTGGCCTGCAGCTGCACCACAAGACACTCGCCAGGTATGCCCTCGTCTGGACAGCCAAAGGTGATCAACAGCTAGGCAAGGTGCACTCAAGGTGCGTTCAAGGTTCAGGGTGATGCGTACTAATCTAGCCCATAATAACGCACTGTTCTCCACTCAAAGGTCATATCTTGACACCGCCCCACCCCCCTCCACTTCCCTCCCCCACTCACACCCCCCAGGTTGTTCGAGGTGACCTGTCTGTACGTGCCTCTATCTGATCGCACGGACTTCACTCGTCTCGTTGATCTGGTGGAGGAGGAGGTGGTGAGGGAGCACCAGCAGAACCCCTCCCATCAATCAATCTGCCTCTCCCCTCCGCCTGCCATCTCCCATCGGCCATGTGCTTTGCCACTTCTCTCCCCCACCACACCCCCAGGCTGTTCGAGGTGACCTGTCTGCACGTGCCACTCTCTGACCGCACGAGCTTCACTCGCCTCGTCGACCTGGTGGAGGAGGAGGTGGTGAGGGAGCACAAGCTGAACCCCTCCCGCGCGCTCTTCATCCTGGGGGAGTCATTTGGCGCCCTGCTCGCCCTCGCTGTGTCTGCCCGAAATACCAAGCTGCCCATCACCCTCGTGCTCGTCAACCCTGGTGTGTGCACATCCTCCTTGATACTGCTACGTGTTCCCCCTCCACCTGCACTTCTCCCCCTGCCTCTCCGCCCTCCCTCGCTTCCCCTTCCTCTTCCTCACCCCCCTCCATGTCGCCCTGCCACTCATCAACCTATTTTCTCATCTTCCAATTCCCCCTCCCCTCCCCGTTCCCTTCCTTTCTGTCTCCATTTCCCCCTCTCCCCTCGCCTCTCCCCTTCCAGCAACGAGCTTTCCGCGCTCACCACTGCACCCACTGATCCCAGTGCTGCGCTCCATCCCACCGGACGTCTACCGCGTCTTCCCCTACCTTCTCAGCTTCACCATGGGTAAGTCCCCGTGCACTGTGCTGCATGCCACGTGCCCCGTGCACTGTGCTGCATGCCACGTGCCCCGTGCACTGTGCTGCATGCCACGTGCCCCGTGCACTGTGCTGCATGCCACGTGCCCCGTGCCCCAACCAACCCCGCATGGCTCATGTGCCATGCTCCATGCCACCCCTACCACGTCTTGCCCTACCTCCTCAGCCTCACCATGGGTAAGCGCCATGCTCCATACCTCATGCCCCAATCCCCCATGCCCCACGCACATGGCATCAAGCCATGTGCCTCTCCACGCCTCGCCTCGCTACAATATTCGCTCAAGCTCCCTCCCAACCACCCCCTTCCCTCCCCCCAGGCACCCCCATGCGCATGGCGTCAAGGCGAGTGCCCCTGGACGCCTCGCCTCTCGACTGCCTGCTGCAGCTCAGGCAGAACCTGCTCGACCTGCTGCCCATCTTGCCTGCGAGACATGCAGCCCATTCTTTCTCTCCTCTCCCCCCTTCCCTCCTCCCAGGCAACCCCATACGCATGGCATCAGGGCGAGTGCCCCTAGATGCCTCTCCGCTCGACCGCCTAGTGCAACTCCGGCAGAACCTGCTCGACCTGCTGCCCATCCTGCCCGTGAGATTCTATAATGCTCCATGTGGAACATTCTGCCCGTGAGATCGGATTTTATTTCATGCTGTGCCGACCATGCTGGCCGTTAGACCTGCTGATGGTGACACAGCCTGTGGAGTATCTACTCCTTTACTCAATTCACGTTCTGCACCATGCTGCACCGTTCTGCACCTGCAAGATGGTGCTCTTCAAACCACTGCCGATGCAGTCTGTGCGATGTGATGATCTAGCATGCTGTGCACGCCTCTCCCCCTCCCCATCCCTCGCACTTCCATGCAGCTCGTGGCGGACATTCTCCCCCAGGCCACGCTCCAGTGGAAACTGGACCTGCTGAAGGAGGGGGCGGTGCGTGTCATTATACTCCCTCCCTTGCCTGATTCATGCTACTAGCGGGAATTCCCTCCTTCCCTAATCCCACCGCACACCACCCCCACCCCTCACACAGCTCGTGGCGGACATACTTCCCCAGGAGACGCTGGAGTGGAAGCTGGATCTGCTGGAGGAAGGGAGTGCTGCTGTGGAGCCTGTACTGAAAGACATCAAGCACACCACGCTCATTGTCGCCGGGTGAGTGGATTCATATTGTGGAAACCAGAGCAACCAACGCACACACCTCCTCCCTCCTCCTGTGGAGGAGGGCAGTGCTGCCGTGGAACCGAACCGGTGCTCCTCCTGCCTGCTGTTCCTCAGTGGTCTTTGCCACTGTGGAGCCAGTGCTGAGAGGTATCAAGCTCACCACACTCATCGTTGCGGGGTGAGTGGTGGCTTGATTGTAGAGCTACCAAAGCACACACCTCGTTGCGTTGCATGGCAGCTCCTCTTTCCTGCCGTGGGGTCGGTGCTTACGAGGGTGAACCACACCGCTCTCACCGCTGCCGCGTGAGTGGATTCAAAACACACCTCCCTCTCCCTGTCCTGCCCTCCTCCTCTCCTTCTCTTTCCCCTCTTTCCCTCTCATTCCCTCTCTTTCCCTCTTTTCCCCTCCGTTTTCTGCTTCTTCTCCCCGATAATGGCACAGGGGTGAGGATCAGATGCTACCGAGTGAGGAAGAGGCAAAGCGGTTGCACAAGGAGATGGCGGCTTGCAAAACGGTGGTCAAGCAGTGCCCCAACTCGGGGCACACGCTGCTGCTGGTGAGCGCATGGTTGCTGTGGTATGAAGGCTGGCACCGAGAGGGAGATGGCGTCACTGAGGGATGGGTACGTCAGGGCATGATGAAGGGTGCGCTAGGAGATGGCAGCTTGCACCACGGTGGTCAAGCAGTGCCCCAACTCGGGGCACACACTGCTGCTGGTGAGCGTCATGGGGTGGTGCTGGTGAGGGTGGTGGGACGTGATGGGTGCACGAGGGGATGGGTAGAGCGGGGCATTGATCTAGCAAGTATCATCAAGGGCATGCGCATGTACAGACGGAGCAGACGTGTGCTACTCTCCTGCCCTATTACTCTCTTCTCAAGTTCCCCAACCTCTCCTCCTCCCTCCCCACCCCCACTCTCCCCTTACAGGAGGCGGACATAGATCTGGCGAGCATCATCAAGGGCGCGGGCGTGTACAGGCGCAGCAGCAGCAGGCGGGAGGACCCGCAAGTGGACGGCTTCGTGCTGCCCACTGTGGAGGAGTTTGCACGCAGCAAGGGCGGCATGGACGGCACGATTCGTCTCATGTGCTCGCCCGTGTTCCTGTCCACAGTGGTGGACGATGCGCGAGACACCACCGACCTCAGCAGGGTCCTCAGGAACTTCTCTTCCCCCTCCCACTCCTCCCATTCCTCCTCCTCTTCGTCGTCCGCACGCATCGTGCTGGGTTTAGAGGGCATACCAACAGACGAGCGCCCGCTGCTCTTCGTGGGAAACCACCAGACGTACGCGCCGGACCTCTCCCCCTTAATCGCAGAGCTGCTCGCACATGGAGTGCCACTAAGAGGACTTACCCACCCCGTCGCTCTCGGCATGGTGAGTGCCTGATGATTGGCCTGGGGATGAGGTATTGCAGCTGTAGCTAGCGCTGCTCTTCACTGGAAACCACCAGACATACGCGCCGGACGTCTCCCCTTTGATAGCTGAGCTGCTCGCCCATGGAGTGCCCCTCAGGGGCCTCACACACCCCGTCGCCCTCGGCATGGTGAGTGGGGTGCCCTGATGCTCTGTGCCTCTTTCTCTCGCTCTGCCCTGTGAGTGCCCATGGGTTGAGTCTATTGCAGCACCAGCTACTGCTCTTCTTGGTTTACCAAAACCACCGGGCATACGCGCCGGTCCTCTCTCCTCTCGTAGCTGAGCCACATCCTTCCTTCTGCACAAAACCCTTCGCCTTCGCTCCCTCCTCTCCCCTCCCTTTTTTCGGCCTGCCCCCACCAACTCCTCACTATTCCCCATCCCCCTTGCCATACCCAGTTCCCCAGCTCCATAGAGCACAACCCCATGGCGGAGGAGTTCCATCTGTTTGGCGCCGTGCTGGTGCTTCCTCCCATCCTTCCCACAGCCATCCCACACCCATTTTCCCCTTCGATCCCTCCCTTTCTCACACCCCCTCCCCCCTCTTCTCCCCGCCTCTTGCCCCTCCCAGTTCCCCGGCTCCATAGAGCACAACCCCATGGCAGAGGAGTTCCGTCTCTTCGGCGCCGTGCCGGTGACGCCTAAAGTGCTGCACCGCCTGATGGCCACCGACCAGGCGGCGCTGCTGTTTCCCGGAGGGATGAGGGAGGCATTGAGGAAGCGGGTAAGTGGCACTTGTTCTTGGGCTGCTGGCTGTGACTTGGGAGGGTGACGCCCAACGTGCTGCCCCGCCTGATGGCCACCGACCGGGCGGTGCTGCTGTTCCCGGAAGGGATGAGGGAGGCGCTGAGGAAACGGGTGAGTTGCGGTGGGGGAGCCGGTGAATGGTTTTTGGGGCTGAAATTGCGGTGTGACTTGGGATTGGGAGGGTGACCCCCAAGGTGCTGCACCGCCTGCTCGCCACAGACCAGGCGGCGCTGCTGTTCCCGGGAGGCATGCGGGAGGCACTCAGGAAGCGGGTGAGTGGCACTCGGGAGGAGATGAATGCATGTTGGTGCTGGGCTGGTGAGTTGACCCTGGGAGGTGGCTCATTGCACCACCTGATGGCAACAGACCAGGCGGCGCTGCTGTTCCCAGGGGGCATGCGGGAGGCGCTGAGGAAACAGGTGAGTGGTGGTGGAGAGAGGGAGTGGCGCTGGGGGATAATTCTCACCTTTCGCTTCCCGTGCTGCAATTGCAAGGCATGCGTGTTTCTCTGCCGACTAAAGGGTTTTCTTCCAGTGCCATAATGTGCCATGCTTTGCCATCCCGTTCCACACCACGCCACTCTCCACCACTCCACACCCCAGGGCGAGGAGTACAAGCTCTTCTGGCCGCACCGCGCTGAGTTCGTGCGCATGGCGGTGAGTCACCATGCTGCTAATGGTAATCCATGCTCGTGTGTTGCTATGGAGTTGTGTGCGATGGTCAAGCACACACTTGTCTGGCAGACACATGTGTCACTCTTGAGAAGTCTCAAAGTTGTGCGAGCTTCTGAAAATGAGTGGAGGTACTCGGGTCCCTTCTCTCATCGACTTACCTGCTCTGCATCTCGACTTGTTGCCATGCCTCATGCTGCGTGTGCCATGTGCGTCATGCAGGTCAAGTTTGGAGCAGTGATCATTCCCTTTGCATCGGTGGGAGTTGACGATGCATACAATGTGAGTGACGGGTTTACACAACGAGTGTGCTTGCATGCAGGATGGGGGTGCATGCAGCACATGGGTGCATGCAGGATGGGGGTGCATGCAACATATGGGTGCATGCAGCATATGGGTGCATGCAGCATATGGGTGCATGCAGCATATGGGTCAAATGCAGCATGTATGAGATGTTTTTCATGCAAGTATCGATTATGCTGTGCCCTGCTGTTACATCATGGCATCTTTCATCCATCGTCTCCGTCTATCACCCCCCCATCACCCCCATCATCCCCATCACCCCCATCATCCCCATCACCCCCATCACCCCCATCACCCCCATCACCCCCATCACCCCCATCACCCCCATCACACCCATCACCCCCATCACCCCCATCACCCCCATCACCCCCTTCACCCCCATCACCCCCATCACCCCCATCACACCCCCCATCACCCCCATCACCCCCATCACCCCCATCACACCCCCCATCACCCCCATCACCCCCATCCTAAGTTGGATCTTACGTTTACGGTCTGTTACGTTTTCGTTTATTTACAACGTTTTTTACGTTTACGAACGGTTGCCTGGATTCGGCCTTACGATTACCGTCACCTGAAAACTTTTTTAGGTCTGCCTGAGGAAAAACATTACCAGAGTACTAGGGAGACTCATTCTGTAGGCATCATGTCAATGTTGAAGAAACAATAATACCCTAAACATAAAATCCTCCTCCTCCTCCTCCTCCTCCTCCTCCTCCTCCTCCTCCTCCTCCTCCTCCTCCTTCTCCTCCTCCTCCCCTTCCCCCTCCCCTTCCTCCTCCTCCCCCTCCCCTCCCCCCAGCTCCCCCTCCCTAACACAACACGGTCATCTCCCTCCCACCTAATTCCTTAATTTGCTATCTTGTTCGACGTCAACCTACCAGCTCGTTCATATCCTATCGTATTCCTTTCCTACTAGTCAACGCTGAATCTGAAACTTTCACGGATTCGAAAGACTTCCGCGAAAGTTAACGTTCGTAAACGAAAACGTAAAATTTCGCGAAATTGACGTTTACGAGACCTCGCAAAACGTAAGTGCCCAACTTAGCCCCCATCATCCACATCACGGAGCTACCCAATGTGCCAGTGCACGGGGAGAAGATGAATGAGTTCATGGATCCCCCTGTCTTCCCTCTCTCTTTCTTCCATCTTCCCCATCACGTCATCCACACCATCCCCATTAGTTAGTGTTGGATGCACACGAGCTGCCCAACCATGCGCTTACAATAGCTCACAGATACCCCTGTCTTCCCTCTCTTCCATCCTCCTTCTCCCTTTCTCTCCACCTTTCCTCCGCCGCCGCCCGCCCATCTCCCTCCATCATCTCCCCCATGCCCATCAGTTTGTGCTGGATGAGGACGAGCTACCCAACGTGCCCGTGTACGGGGAGAAGATGAAGGGGTTCAGGGTTCCCCCTGTCTTCCCTCTGTGTTTCTTCCATCTTCCCCATCCCACCATCCGCACCTTCCCCACCGTCCCCATCAGTTTGTGTTGGATGCAGACGAGCAACCCAACCGTGCATGAACGATTGCTCACAGACTCCCCTGTCTTCCCTCTCTTCCATCTTCCCTCTGCTACCCATCCATCGCCCCCATCATCACCCCCACCGCCCCCATCAGTTTGTGTTAGATGCGGACGAGCTACCCAACGTGCCGGTGTATGGGGAACAGATCAAGCAGTTCATGGACTATGTGCCTAAAGTCAGGTGCGTGCGTGCGTGCGTGCATGCGTGCGTGCGTGTGTGTGTGTGTGGGGGGGCTGTGTGCTTCAAGAGCTCATGGAGTGCATCTCACAACAAGCTCACCTAACTGGTGTACGGGGAGAAGATGAAGGAGTTCATGGACTATGTGCCCAAAGTCAGGTGCGTGCGTGAAGGAATGTGCTGTGTGCTTCAATAGTTCATGTCAGAATGTTCAGGCGACTACTTGCCTGAATTCAGGTGAGTGATTGCGCAGTGCTCGCTTCGGTTGGGACTCGCTTCGGAGAGTCTGAAGCCTGATCATTTCTGTGCAAGCAGCTGTCACGTGACTCTCATGCCCCTACACATCTGAGCCACCTCTCGTTTTGCTCTCCTCCCATCTCCCCTCCCACCTCTTCCTACATCACCCCTCTCCTCTCAACCCACTCAGAGAGGACGAGATAGCGGGGCCAGCAGCAGAGCGCTTCCTGGCGCCAGTGGTGCTGCCCAACAAGATCAACCGCCTCTACATCAAGTTTGGAGCCCCCATCCGCACCGCCGGTACGCCTCTCCTTTCCTGTGCCATCCTCTCGCTCTCTTGCTCGGACACACCGCAACCACTCCTTATGCTCTGGCACAAACGGTGCTCCCCTTCAAGATCAACCGCCTCTACATCAAACTCGGCGCCCCCATCCACACTGCCGGTGCGCCCCTCCTGTCACCACCATTGTCTTGTTCTCTTGCTCCAACACACCTCAACGCTCCTTGTGGTTCGGGCGGTGCTGCCGAGTACGCCGTGCTGCTGTGGAAGATAAGCCATTGGCGGCAACAGCAGCAGCATTGACAGTCCCCTAGCCTGTCTGTGACGGCCTTGCAGGAAAGCACTGTTTCTTCTCCCCCCTCCTTCCCCTTCCTCTATCTCCCCCTTACCTTCTCTATCTCCCCCTTACCTTCTCTATCTCCCCCTTACCTTCTCTATCTCCCCCTTACCTTCTCTATCTCCCCCTTACCTTCTCTATCTCCCCCTTACCTTCTCTATCTCCCCCTTACCTTCTCTATCTCCCCCTTACCTTCTCTATCTCCCCCTTACCTTCTCTGTCTCCCATCCATCCCTCCTCTCCTCTCCCCTCTCATCCACCCCATCCTGCCCAGGCATGCGGGAGGTGTTGACAGACCAGCAGGGAACAGCAGCGCTGTACGCGCATGTGAAGGGCGAGGTGGCAAGGGGAATAGAGCAGGGTCCTTGCACTCTCACACTGCCATTCCCTTACCCCTCTCCCCTCCCACCCTTCAGGCATGCGGGATGTGTTGACAGACCAGCAGGCAGCAGCAGCGCTGTACGCACATGTGAAGGGGGAAGTGGAAGCAGGGATAGAGTACCTGCTGAGAAAGAGAGAGGAGGACCCATATGCCGACCTTGGGGCGAGATTGTTGTATGAAGCCACGTGGGGGGGCGAGAGGCAAGCACCCACTTTCAAGCCCTGAGGGACATGGCAACAAAGCATCTGTGACGTGGCATGCGAAGAGCTTGTTACCTTGTTAGTAACGGTCGATGCTGTATGCCTCCCTACCATGTGTGCTTGCTACCGATATAAGGCTGTTCCTGGTGCATAAACTAATGTGAATAAGTCAGTAAATTATTCACCCAGCAGTATGCATAATGCATAGTTGTTGTTCTTCTAAGGTCTGATTTGTCGGTTACGGTATGATACAGCGGTCAGGCAGAGATACTCTGAGAGGAAGACCCTGGGTACGAGGGACACAGTGTATCTCCTTGGTGGAGTTACCAAGCGTGGAATAAGGTACCGGTGTGGAACCAACAGGTGGGAGCGGCGGCTACTGGGCTGGCTCGCACTCTTCATTTCCCTTTCCCCGCCAAGTGTTGCTGCTACTCCGGCTGATTTAATCTTGCCCGTGTGCTCTCACTGTCTGCAGTTGCCATACTCCTCTCCACCCACACTGCCCTCCACCCACACTGCTCTCCCCTGATGCTCGGAAGCACGCGAATCTGCCCGCTACCGCCCCAACCTCACATCAGCGCCAAGCCTTGCTGCTACTGCAGCTCTCGCAGTCTTGCCCGTGCACTCTCACTCACGGCAGCTACCAAGCCTCTCTCCACCCACTCCCACCGCTCCTCCCCGCTGCTCTCCCCTGCTGCTCGGTAGCACATGAACGCCAGGCAGTCCCCAGGCGCTGAGGAGAAGCCCTGCAGCAGGAGTGGGAGAAAGAAGGAATGGGTGCGAGGGGTGAGTGCGACGTGAGTATATGAAGGGGACAAGGCATTTTTAGGGTTTCAGGGTTTTAGGGCACATGAACGCCAGGCAGTCTCCAGGTGCTGAGGAGAAGCCCTGCAGTGGAAGGGAGGAGGGGAGACGGGGTGAGTGTGCGTGAGAGGTGAGTGAGGAGTGAGTGTGGGGAACACAGGTGAAGTGGAAGCTCGCAAATGCCAGACAGTCTCTAGGTGCTGATGAGAATCCGTGCGGCAGATGAGAGGAGGAAAAGAAGGATGAGTGGTGGAAGTGACGCATGGAAAAGAAGGCGTTGATGTGAGAAGGATAGGGCGGGAATCATAGACTGAGCCAGTACAATGAAGGTGGATGATCAGAAAAGAGAACACTGGGCTGATTCAAAAGTGGCTTCGCCCGGACTTGAACCGGAGACCTTCAGTGTGTTAGACTGACGTGATAACCAACTACACCACGAAACCACATGACAACTGTTCAGCAAACATACGAAACAGTCAACCAGTGTCCCTAAGTAGAACACAACCCACTTTTCCACCCTCACCTATCTGCCCTCACGTCTCTGCATTCCCCCCTCTCCCCTCCCCTCTCTCCTTCCCCTCACTCCCCTCTCTCCCCTCCCCTCTCTCCCCTCCCCTCTCTCCTTCCCCTCACTCCCCTCACCTCTCACCTCTCTCCTCTCTCTCCCCTCACCTCTCTGGAGTTGGATCGCCTGGCATGGTCCCTCATGGCGCGCACCAGCTCTCTCACACCCCCTGCATCCAGCCCTTGCTGGGCCACATAGGCTGCTGCTTGCTGCAACCGGAAGGGGGGAGAGTGGTGGGAAGAGTGCTGGGAGGGAGAGAATGAGCCACAAAGCAACATGGAGATTTAGGCCCCACCACCTGTACAAATCCCACCATCCCCACCACCACCCTCACCGCCCCCCCCCACCACCCCAGCAGCACGCACCCGTCGGCCAGCTGTGGCCAGGGTGCGCATCTCATACATCAGCTCATACAGCAGCTCATACAGCACCTCATACAGCACCTCATACAGCAGCTCATACAGCAGCTCATACAGCAGCTCATACAGCAGCTCATACAGCAGCTCATACAGCAGCTCATACAGCAGCTCATACAGCAGCTCATACAGCAGCTCATACAGCAGCTCATACAGCAGCTCATACAGCAGCTCATACAGCAGCTCATACAGCGGCTCATACAGCAGTTCATACAGCAGCTCATACAGCAGCTCATACAGCAGCTCATACAGCAGCTCATACAGCGGCTCATACAGCAGCTCATACAGCAGCTCATACAGCAGCTCATACAGCAGCTCATACAGCAGCTCATACAGCAGCTCATACAGCAGCTCATACAGCAGCTCATACAGCAGCTCATACAGCAGCTCATACAGCAGCTCCGCACTCTGCTCTGATTGGAACGCCATCGGGCCGCACCAACCACAGCACACCCCACCTCCCCCCAACACAGACCCACCATCCCCACCAGCTTCGCTATGCCCACCACTCCCAACCCAGCAGCACCTACCCGTCGGCCGGCCGTGGGCAGCGTGCGCAGCTCATAGAGCAGCTCCGCGCTCTGCTCTGCGTGAAACGCTACCGCCACGTCAAAGCTGCTTTCGGGCCCGTCTCCCTCAACCTCCTGTGCGCCTGGCAGCAGCGACTCATACACCTGCCATAGCAGCAGCAGCAGCACAGGGAGGAGTGGAATGAGGGGGTGGGCATGGGGAACGGGGCATGTACATGGGCTATGGTACATGGGCTATGGCACATGGGCTATGGCACATGGGCTACGGCACATGGGCTATGGCACATGGGCTATGGCACATGGGCTATGGCACATGGGCTATGGCACATGGGCTATGGCACATGGGCTATGGCACATGAGCTATGGCACATGGGCTATGGCACATGGGCTATGGCACATGGGCTATGGCACATGGGCTATGGCACATGGGCTATGGCACATGGACTATGGGCTATGGCACATGGGCTATGGCACATGGACATGGGCTATGGCACATGGACATGGGCTATGGCACATGGGCTATGGCACATGGGCTATGGCACATGGGCTATGGCACATGGGCTATGGCACATGGGCTACGGCACATGGGCTATGGCACATGGGCTATGGCACATGGGCTATGGCACATGGGCTATGGCACATGGGCTATGGCACATGGGCTATGGCGCATGGGCTATGGCACATGGGCTATGGCGCATGGGCTATGGCACATGGGCTATGGCACATGGCTATCGCACATGGGCTATGGCACATGGGCTATGGCACATGGGCTATGGCACATGGGCTATGGCACATGGGCTATGGCACATGGGCTATGGCACATGGGCTATGGCACATGGGCTATGGCACATGGGCTATGGCACATGGGCTATGGTACATGGGCTATGGCACATGGGTTATGGCACATGGACATGGGCTATGACACATGGACATGGGCTATGGCACATGGGCTATGGCACACTATGTTGCGCCTGACGCGTCAGGCGTTTTTGACGCTGGCGTCTGGACGGGGCGTCCAGATGCTTGACGCCCGGTGCCCTCTGCCCTGGACGCCCGCTTGACGCTAGTCCGGGCAGGGCAAAAATGTTTTCCGGGCAGGGGTAAAAAAACCTGCGTAGTAAGGATACGCAAGGGTTAGAATGCAAGAAGTTCACATTTGTAACCTATAGTTATAAATACTCCATAAAATCCTGAAAATCCTGAAAATCTCCTAATCTCACACACAAGTTAAATGATATCTTAATCGCCTTAACCTAATTTTAGCTAGGAAGGCTTAGTAGCGTGACTGGCGGATTCTAGTGTAAGGAATGCTTGGCAATGTCGAGAAACAGATCTGTGTAATGTCGACCTAGATCTGGTTCTCTAGTTTAGTTGGGGGTCGACCAGGTTGGGAGAAGTAGATGTGGATGGGTACAAATGTGTGGGGGGTAATAAATGAGGGTTGCATTTTTTTAGGTCAAAAACGCGGCCCCCAGTTGGCAATTTCATCGCAATTCTGGTCGCGATGAAATCGCGAGTCAATTTCGTGCAGGAGAGAAAAAAAGAAAATCGGGCTGCCCGAAATTTTTTTCCCCGAACGTCCAGCGTCCGGACGTGGACGCTGCCCTTCCAGGGCGTCAGGCGCAACATAGATGGCACATGGGCTATGGGCTATGGCACATGGACATGGGCTATGGCACATGGACATGGGCTATGGCACATGGGCTATGGCACATGGGCTATGGCACATGGGCTATGGCACATGGGCTATGGCACATGGGCTATGACACATGGGCTATGGCACATGGGCTATGGCACATGGGCTATGACACATGGGCTATGGCACATGGGCTATGGCACATGGGCTATGGCACATGGGCTATGGCACATGGGCTATGGCACATTGGCTATGGCACATGGCTATGGCACATGGGCTATGGTACATGGGCTATGGTACATGGGCTATGGTACATGGGCTATGGTACATGGGCTATGGTACATGGGCTATGGTACATGGGCTATGGTACAAGGGCTATGGCACATGGGGACATAGCACAGGGAAGGGGACATAGCATAGGGAAGGGGGAATAGTATAAGGAAGGGAATAGCATAGTTAAGGGGCATGGGTCATGGCACACGGGGAAGGGAGGGAGAGCAGAGCACCTGAGCAGCGACGACAAGCACGGTCACTCGGCCATGCGCCAGCATTGCCACATCCGCCACCTCCTCTGCCGTCATGCCCGCCTGCTGTAGCTGCCTGTGGGGAGGGAGGGGGAGGAAGTGAAAGCAAGGTAACTGGAGGGATGATTGGAAAGCAGGGCCTCTTGTTGAGGCGCATCAAGCATGCGCCAGCATTGCCACATCTGCCACCTCCTCCGCTGTCATGCCCGCCTGCTGCAGCTGCCTGCGGGGAGGGTGAGAAGAAAGAAAGCGAGGGAACGAAAGAGATGAAAGGAAATCAGGGCCTATCCTTGAGTTGCCTCAAAGCATGTGCCAGCAGTGCCACATCTGCCACCTCCTCCGCTGTCATGCCCGCCTGCTGCAGCTGCCTGCCTCCACGTAATGCCAGGGCGGTGTCAGGGGGGCATGGGGCCGTGCCGTGGTAGAGGGTGGAGGGATGGGTAAAGGGAGTAGGGGAGGGAGAAGGATGCAGATCCAGGTTTCTAGGAGTAATGAGCTGTTGGCTACGGGAACAAAGGGTTACAAGAAGCTCGGGGAAGCATCAGCAATTTCACCTGAAAGCATCAGCAATTTCACCGGAAGGCAACAGCAATATCACCTGAAGGCATCAGCAATTTCACCTGAAGGCATCAGCGATTTCACAGAATAGCAGCAGCGATTTCACTGATAGCAGCAGCGATTTCACCTGATAGCAGTAGCGACCTCCTGCCAGGAGCCACGCCCCTCTCTCACTGCCGCGATCAGCTCCTCCCTCCGCTCCCTCTCCTTCCGCCTCCCCTCCTCCGCTTCCCCCGAATCTTCTCCCCCAGGTGCCCCCATGGGGAACATCGGCGCGCCTGGGACTGCGGGAGAGGGGGGGAAAAGGCGGAGCGGAATGGAGCGACCGCGGGGGGAAGGGTGAGGCGCAATAGACGCCTTTGGAGCGCCTGATCCTCAGGGGCGGGCGGATAGTGGGAATGAGCGGAGAGGCGGTTACGCGGGCGGACCGGGGATGAATTAAGAGGGGAAGGGTTGGGTGAAAGGGGGGAGGGCGGAAGGGAAGGGCGGAGGCGGAGCTCACTGGGCAGCGGGGGCGGGCGGAACTGCCCGAGGGCGGGCGGGGACGCGGCGGACATCATGCGCCGGACGTTCTTCGCGGATCGGCTCATCACTTTCATTGGCGGCGGCGGCGGCCGCGAGTCGCTGCCCTCTGGCGGCTCGCGCTGCGAGGAGGTTGCGGAAGCTCTTAGCACGAGCGGTGCGCGCAGCTTAAGAGGCGCGTGATTGGGCGATGCATGCTTCCGCCGTGGGAGAAGGGCGGCTGGGCGTTGCGCGAATGCGGGAGGGAGAAGAACGGTGGGGGGAGGAGGAAGCGGGCGGGCGACTAGCGCTGCTGCTGAGGTGAGCTGCGACATTGGATCCGTCGCACGGTGGCAGCGGTGCGACTATGCGACAGCGCTAGTCAGTAATGCGGCAGGCGTCAACGTGACAAGAAGTGCGTCGGGTTCAGGGAGGATGGGGAATAAGAGGCGCCTAAGAATCTGTGATCTGAAGCCACGAGAGTTGGGGGGTGGGCAATTTCAAAAAATGCGATAAAAAACGCCTCATATACCACGTACAACGTACAGATGCACACAAACATCTTATAGATTACCTGACCTGATTTTCCAAATTTACTGCTAGGAGTCTGGATTTTCACCTCCAGTGTTATGAAGGGCATGCGTTTGCAAGCCCACAAGCCCACAGGCCTGCAACCGCAAGCCCGCATGGGTGCCATATATGAAAGAACGTGTGGTACTCTGTACACTCTGAAATCTTCAATGAGCCTTGATATACCATGTGGAAAACACTGCCCTATTTAGTGAAGGGCCAAAACGCCTAACAAGCTACGTCTACTCCATCAGGCCAAGCTACAGCCTACTTTGGGCATTTAAACCTATGTCGTTTTTTACAGAATGGTTTTATCAATGGTTTGGAGCACGGAACTGCAACCCAATAAGGCCACACACACAGACCCACAGAAACAGAGTATCCACATGTAGAGAAGACATCAGCAAGAGAATGAGAAAGAAAACATGGAAAGGTACAAACTGCAGATTACAGCCAGAAATTATAGCAAGTGAAGGCCGGCGAGGGGCAAAGAAGGGGAGAGGAGAGGAATGGGAGAAGAGAGGAGGAGAGTGGGAGAGGGGAGGAGAGCAGGAGACGGGAGGAGAGGGGGAGAGGAGAGGAGACGGTGGGGGACGGAGCGAGGAGAGATTACGGGATTGAGAGACCAAGCAGCTTTTAACAGCTCATGCCAGTGCTCACACACTCACCGCATCTTCTTCTCGTCGCGTAAGTTCCGGTGGGGCAAGAGTTGCACTTCCAACCCTTATCAGGCGGGTTCGACAGCGCATCAACCTCCCACGGCGGCCAATCTCCATACTGAGGAATACACGACTTGGCCCACTTGCACTGAAACGAGTTGAGCAACTTCCGCTTGGCACAGGGGTTCCGCCGGCATCCGATGGTGCGCTGGCGGCGTGGAAACCCGGTTACCCCGTTACAGCCGGAGGTGCGCGAGAGGCAGTTCATGGCGGCGTTGCAGACGCGCAGGCGGCGGGCAGCGGGTGGGAGGGGGCCGGTGAGGAAGTTGACTGAGAGGAAGAGCGCTGTGAGCTTGGGTCCGATTTTCCTTATTGTGCCCGTTAGCTTGTTGCCCTGTAATGAGCTGGAGGGGGAAGGGGGTTGTTGGAGGGAAGTGGAGGGCGGAGAGGGGAAGGGGGAGGATTGGGTTTCTTTTAGTCAATTCAAAAGCCTGGTGTTGCAGGCGGGAGGCGGGCAAGAGTGAGCCGGTGAGGAGGTTGACTGAGAGGAAGAGCGCTGTGAGCTTGGAACCCACGGCCTTTATTGTGCCCGTTAGCTTGTTGCCTTGTAACGACCTGGGGGGGTGGGAAAGGAGCGGAAGGAAAGGAAGGGGAGAGGGAGGGAGGGGGAGGAGGCAAGGGAAGGGGAGAGGGAGGGTGGAGGGGGGTTGGGCTGGGTAGAAGAGGATAAGGATGCAGTGAGGAAAGGGGAAGGGATTGAAGAGGGGAGGGAGGTGTTGGACCAGCATGGTAAAGGGGGAGGTGAGGGAAGCAAGAAGCAGCGGAGGGTTTGGTGGGTGATAAGGCAGGAAAAGCGGTTCTCCAGTCTCTGATACACAGAGGCCCTCAGCATGCTTGGAATGGAGGCAGACGGATGGGGATTGGCTCGGGAAAAGAGAGAGGTGGCATAGGTGGTTGAAGTGAGACAAGGGGGGAGACGGGGAGAAGAGGTGGGGCAGGAAGGAAGGCAGACGGAGGAAGGGCACTTACAGGTCAGTTAGAGTGGGTGAGTTAATGAGGTAAGGTGGGACGGGCCCATAGAAGGAGTTCCCATCCAACACTCTGCAGACAGAGGAGGGGTGACGGTGGAAAGGCGTGATGATGGTGGTAAGGCATGATGAGCATGGTATTAAGACATGATGATGGTGGTAAGACATGATGATGATGGATGGTGGCGCGTGAGGTCAACAAGGCAATGCGATGGGTCAGAAGAAAATGACCACACAACAAACAGATGACAGGGAAGGGCGAATCTGACAGAAAAAGGCGAATCTGAGAAAAAGTCACGTTAAGCAAGGCAGGGGAGGCGTGACTCACAAATGTCTTAGGTTAGGCAAACAGGAGAGGGGTCTGGCGAAGTCGTCTAGTCTTGTGTTAATGAGTCCCATGATGAGCACTCTGGTGGTGCAGCACCATGTGCCACCACCACGATGGAGGGGGGAAAGGGGAAGGAAGGGGGGAAGGAGGAGGGGGAAGGAGGAGGGGGAAGGAGAGGGGGAAGGCGAAGGAAGGTGGCAATTAGATAAGTGAGGAGAGGGGTCTGGCGAAGTCGTCTAGTCTGGTGTTATTAAGGCCCATGATGAGCACCCTGGTGGGTGCAGCACCGTGCCATCACACCAGGATGGATCATGGAGGGGGAAGAGGGAAGGGGGGAAGGAGGAGGGGGCGGGGAAAGGGGGGAGGAGAGTGGGAGGAGAGTTCAAGGGGGAGGGGGGTTGGGAGGAAAGGGAAGAGGGGGAGGAGGGGGAAATGGGAGAGGGGAGGGAGGTTGAAGAGCAATGGGAAGGAGGGGGGCGCGGGCGGAGAAAGGTGGCAATCTGGTAAGAGGCTGAGAAGCAAGCAGGAGAGTGGGAACCAATATAGGACGAGGGGAGAATAAGGTGCCAGTGGGTAGGATGACATAGAAGCATGGTTGACAGCAGCAAGAGATGGAGGAGGAGGAGAGGCACGTTCACACCTGGGGGTTCCGGTAGGAACGAGGACCGTTTGACACTAGAACAGTTTGACACGAGGATTATGTGACATGAGGACTGTAAAGCAGAGCAGGAATATGAGGCGTACAATCTGGTGAGTGTGGTGAGGCGGGCGAAGGCGGTGGGGAGGGATCTGAGGCCCACGAGGGAGTTGCCGAGCGTGGGTATCCTGATAGGGGGGCGATGGGGATGGGGGGAGGCGGAGGGGAATGGGGGGAGGCGGAGGGCGATGGGGATGGGGGGAAGACTTTTGAGTCGACTCAAAAGTCAAAGGCGGTGGGGAGGGATCTGAGGCCCACCAGGGAGTTGCCGAGCGTGGTTATCCTGGTAGGGGGCGATGGGGATGGGGGGAGGCCGGGGGGCGATGGGGATGAGGGGAAGGGGAGGGCGATGGGGATGAGGGGAAGGGGAGGGCGATGGGGATGAGGGGAGAGGGGGGGAGGAGGATGAGGACAAGAGAGGAGGGGCCGATAGGTGAAGGGACGGGACATGGGGAATGCGTGCTAGAGGGACGATGGCGCATGGGGTGGGGGAGGGAGCATGGGGCGGAGGAAGGCGCATGGGGTGGGAAAGGCGCATAGAGGGAGCACGGGGTGGGGGATGGCGCACGGGGTGGGGGATGGCGCACGGGGTGCGGGATGGCGCACATGGCGCACGGGGTGGGGGATGGCGCAGCGGGCGGTGTGGGGATGGCGCATGGGGTGGGGGGTGGAGCCCGGGGTGGGGGAGGACGCATGGGTTGGGGGCGGACGCATGGCGTGGGGAGGGGCGCATGGGGCGCGGGATGGCGCAAAGGGGGGGGAGGATGGCTTATGGGGTGGGGGAATGGCACAATGGGCGGGGATGGCGGATGGGGTGGGGGGGTGGCACATTGGGCGGGAATGGCGCATGGGGTGGGGGGGTGGCACACAGGCGGGACTATCACAATAGAGACTGCAGGACGCGAAGTCAAGGTGGGGTGCGGGCAAGAGGGAGAGAGAGATCAAGTTTGGGCAGGAACGAGAGACACGGAGCATAGGGGCGTGAAGGATGACAGGAGAAGGAATAGAGCTAGGAGGAAAAGGGAAAGAAGTGGCGGGAAGAGGGAGGGAGGGGGAAGGGGGAATAGGAAGAGAAATGAGAAAGAGAAGATGTAGAAAACGAGCGGGAGGCCGAGGAAGGGGCGGAAGGGGAGCGGAAAGAGAAGCAATGAGAGTACCAGGGAACACAAGGACGATGCAAGGGGAAGAGAGAGCAGTACTCGAAGTATCGGATAGGGAAGATCATGCGGGGGAGATTCGAGCGCAACACCCCAACGCGGAGGTTCCGCGGAGGGTCGGCGGAATTGTGACGCGCAGGCGGCAGCGACAGAGACACACACGCGACGGCATGAATGGCGGGATGCGGGGGGGACCGGGAATGGCGGGATGTGGGGCGCAACGGGAGGGGGTGGCGTGGCGTGAGAAAACAAGTCGCTCACCTAAACGCAATGATGGCATCGACGCGACGAGCAGTTGCGCCTGACGTGGCAAAGATCATGACGGACGTGGCAAGCGTGGCTATTGACGTGGCAGTGAGAGACGTCCACGTGGCGGACGGGCGAGTGCGCGTCGGCGTTGCTTACATGGCACGAGGGTTGCCGTTGGAGTCGCAGATCACGCCCTTAAAGCCGCTGCCCGTGCCGTCGTCGGAGCACGGCGCGCCTTCACTCCAGTTCTGCTCCGGGTCGAGATTGAATGCCGTCATAATCTCGTACATGGGTTGCACTGCGAGCGACGAAACACAGCAGCGTGGATAGAAGATCGTCAGGTCGTCAGGTCGTGCTGGTCTCGTACGTGTGTGGCATTGATTAGGCGCCTAAACTTTTCCGTACGTCCGTAGCACTTCGTGCCACGGGACCCGCAACGCGACACTCAACTCGAAAGCATCAAGACTGGGCGATGAGCGTAACAATCTACAGGAGGAAAACGGCGAGAAAACGACCAGCTGGCTACCTGCATGCCTGCTTTCGAGCTCCTACAAGCGATCGCTTCAACCCGGTCCTGCCGGTCTGCAGGCTCCTTTTCACTGGTCCCCTCTGACAAACCCGGCTAACAGTGATCGCTTCAGCCCACTCGGTGCTTTCCTCCCAAACTAACAATCTAACGGCTCGCGAGGCCTCTAAGGCAAACGGAGGACGAGGCAGCGAGAACGATGTGCACGTGCTGAGAGGAGGCAGGTCGCGAGTGGACGCGCGAATTGGATAAGTATAGGGTTGGGTGCGGGGAAGGCTGGGATGAAGAGGGAAGGCGATTGGGGAGAGAAAGACGGGTGGATGACGGAACTGGCAAAGCGTGTAGCGGGAGGGTGACAGAGCATGGTGCACAGCGGGAGAACGAAAGAGCACGCGCGTTGCGATGGTCGGCGAGACAGGAGAGTCGCCAAAACGACTGAAGCTTCCATTCGAGCAGCTTTTTCAACAATATAACCGTAATCAGCTGACGGAGCGGTGTGACTGCCAGTTGCTCTCTGAGCTCATTCAGAAAGGATCCCCATGGTCCACACAGCACGTCCATGGTCTCTATTATAGGTAGTTCCCCCGGTCTTACCGAACTTGGAGTTGAATGGCATTTCCGTTGTCGCCAATGCCGCACGATGTTTATTCGATGGGAGTAACAGCAGCACAAGTAGCAGGGTAATGAGCATGCTGCGACTATCGACATGGAAAAATGGTGGACGATCGATCGCCGTCGAAGAGGGGAGAATGCAACGCCTGTTGACGCGCGCGATTGCTACGTGTCTAGCTGATTTGAAAACGTCAACCAGAGAAATAAGCTCCTAAAACGGCTGGACTAGGCGCCGCTATTACAACGCGTCGCGTTTTCCCTTTCTAAGGTGCAGGGCAGACACTAAAGTTTCTGTCGATAGGACGAACTGTTGGTTCTGCAAAAGGTGAATAAATCGCTGGACATCTTGTTCGTCTCCGTAGCGCATGAGTCGCACTGTCGACGATGCTAAAGAACAAATACTCAAGTGCTAGGAGAATGGTCCAAGTCCAAGCCTTGTACTGTAAACCGTTTTCGCTGGAACATCAGCAAGATCGTTCCGTGCATGGAGACTACGAGAGCCGTGAACTGACAACACTGTCCCGTCTGGCATCAAACAGCCGAAAGCAAGCGAGTGTGAAAATTTGTTGGTAGAGGGGGAGGCAGAGTCAAGTTAGGTCAGGAGGAATAATCCCTTCCAGGGGGATGGTTGGTGGGTGGGGTCGGTGAGGAGGTTGTAATGAAGAAAAGGGTGGAGTGGAGAGGGGGAGGCAGGGAAAGGTGCAGGCAGGCAGCCATGGTGCCTGCCATGGCAAGAATGTTCCATTCCAGCCACGGCGAAGCCATTTCCCGCACTAGCAACTCCCCCTGGTTGGTGCTTGTGCTCCGCCGTTGGCCTGGTTTGGCTTGTCTGGTCTGGTTTGATCCGTCGGAAAAAATTCTTCCTTGCGGAAAAGTTCCACTATCCCGACTCCCGAACCAAGAGAGTATCACCCTGCTAAGATTGCAGAGGAAGGTGAGGACAGCTCTACTTAGCCGATCAGATTGCAGAGGTTTTATTCTGCCCGTTATTCGACCATTCGGGAGCGTGACATAAGCACGTCGAATACGGGTCAACAGTCGCAGAAACTGTTGGAGCGCACTTATCACCGACTTTGGTTCGGTGATCCCTAGGGCGATGAGCGCACTTATGAGCAACTTGTCTTGGTTCAACTGTAGATGACTTCCTCTATCAAGGGCAGCTACTACATCTTTTCCTCATCAACATCTTGATCACATCACGTGATCAAATATATGCACAAGAACTTGCAGGTTTGGCGATAACAGAAGCAAAGCTACAAACAGTTGGTAAAACAAGAAACCTTTTGACCGTACAATGGATGATAGAAACAAATACATGATACAATCGCGTTCATATGCAGCATATGGGCAAATCCACAAATCACATACGGTATTCCTGGTTCCGGACTTCAGGCACTCATACAGTACATGCACGTGTACCATGCACGTATCATCACTGCAATGTTCGTCCCATTTGTATCATGCATCCAGGCATCCAACCAACCATGCGAACTTGTATGACTAGGCTGCACAAGGCGTGATCAGATCACCCGAATAAGCCACCATCTATCAGTCAAATGGCAGGGCTTTGCGCTCAAACACCCCGACGGCCACGCCACGGCATGACACGGCATCTCATCGCCTCCAGATTCCCAACCCTTTTCCCCAATCCCACCCCCATTCCCACCCCCACACAAACCCCCCCTACCACAACGACTTGTCAGACAATAACATAGCCAGTCAATGACACAGCCAGACAATGACACAGCCAGACAATGACATGCATACTGCAACATATCACAGCATGAGAATCATAACAGACAGCACTGCAGCTCACCCATGCACCCATGCATGAGAATGCACATCATTCCACGCGCTCTGACAGACCACAATATTGCATCGCACAATATGAGATCCGCAGTAGCAACATGCTATAAATATGGTGCCATACTCTTACAACCCAGAATGGGGCACGCCAAAAATATGCCACAACACACACACAATCACACACCACACTATACCAACTGTACAATCATCCATCATACAATCACACACCACACTGTCACACACCACACTATCATACAGCACACTCTCACATGCCACACTATCACACGCCACATTATGATGTACCACACTATAACAGACCACACTAAGACATGCCAAGGCCACAGTATGGTAAGCCATACTAAAGCCACCACCACCACCATCAACAGTGATACGAACCAAACAACCACGACGCACACCATGACCACCACTGAAACCTGACACACAGAAACATGGCACATAGTAAGACACCATCCAGTAACATACCACACAGTAGCATGCCACAAGGTAACACACCATACAGTAACAGGCTCGCAGAACATATCACACAGCAGCATACCACATTGAAACATGCCACGCAGTTACATACCACGCAGTAACATGACACACAGTCACATACCACATATAACATACCAAACACACAATAACATACCACACCACAACATACCACACAATAATGTACCATGCAGTAACATAACACACACTATAGTACCACACAATAGCATGCCACATCATAACACACCACACGATAACATACCACACAATAGCACACCACACAGTAACATACATTCCACACATTAACATACTAAACAGTAACATACCACACAATAGCATACTACACAGTAATATACCACATGCATGCATGCCAGGGCCTCTGCTGCTACTCGCTACCGCCCACTCCCCTCCATGCCCTTACCGGCGACAGCAGCACGTTGGCAGCTTTCAAATCGCGGTGGATTATGTTGAGTGCATGCATGTACATCAGCGCCTCTGCTACTTGCACTGCCACCTTCAGCCGCATGGCCCAGCTAAAGACGAGCTCTCCCTCCGCACCTGGTTAACATACCACACGATAACATACTACACAATATCATACCACATAATAACATACCACACAGTAACACACCATACAACAACATACCACACAGTAACATACCATACAATAACATACCACACAGTAACATACTACACAATATCATACCACATAATAACATACCACACAGTAACATACCACACAACAACAGACCACACAATAAAATACCACACACTAACAGACCACACAGTAACATACTACACAATAACAGACCACACAATAACAGACCGCACAATAACATACCACACAGTAACATACCACACGGTAACATACCACGCGATAACATACCACACTATAATACCACACAGTAACATACTACAGAATATCATACCACATAATAACATGCCACACAGTAGCATACTACAGAATATCATACCACATAATAACATACCACACAGTAACATCCACACAATAACTTACCACACACTAACATACCACACAGAAACATACCACACAGTAACAAACCACACAATAACAGACCACACTCTAACATACCACACACTAACATGCCACACAGAAACATACCACACAGTAGCATACCATACAATAGCATACCAAACAGTAACATGCATGCCACACAACATCATACTACACAATAACATACCACACAGTAACATACCCTTCCCACCTTCACTGCCCCACCCACCCCACTTCACACCAAACACCCACCACAACTTACCATCCCATCCCCCAGCAGTAGGAGCAGCAGACAGCCCACTCCCTTTCGGAAACAACACCCCCAGTGGCTATGTCATGCAGGGGAGGTATGGCAGTGGAAAAGCATGATCTGGCCCAAGACTCAAATCCCACGCCTGACGTAGCTAGAGCTGACGCGAACCAGAGCCGCCGGCCGGTCGGCTCTGACGGTGTCCATTAAGCTTTGAACGCCAGATCGGTTACTTGAGCACCGAGTGCCGCCGCCACGCAGATTCCACCCACCACACCCCACCCACAAGCCACAACCCCAGAGGGTGCCGCCCCTGAGAGAGTGTGCTGCCCGCTTGCTCCCATGCTGCCCCTCCACCCGCCCACCTCCCCCCATCCCTTCAGCCCGTGCCTGCTTACCTCTACTTACCTGTACCTACCAGAGCCGTGCAGAGCCATGATGCCTGAGGCTGCTGGGAAGTGGGGAGGGGGGAATTAAACGAGGGCGGGACTCCACTGTAGTCTAGGCAGGGTGCTGTTGGGTGGGAGGGAGGAGGGAGAGAAGAGGAGGTGAGTGAGAGGGTCGACTCCACACTCCGCCCTTGCTCCAGTGCTCCCACCCTCAGGCTGCAGGAGAGAAAGGGAGAGAAAGAAAGGAGGGGGTCAGAATGCCTGACCTGTAACCATACCTCACCTGTTACCACACCTTGCATACCATGACTCGATCTAGCCTAGCCTGCCCTCTAGCCCCCCAGCCCCCTTCTGCTGCTACCGCTGCTGCTGTTCTGCTTCTGCTGCTACAACTGCTGCTGCCGGTCTGCTTCTCAGCTGCATTCTTCCCTTGATGCCAAGTGACCTAGTGGCGGGCAGAAAGGAGGAGAAGAAACAATGAGTGAGGGTTTGCCAAAACATGGCAGAGGGTAAAGCTGCCAGAATAAAAAATGACGACAGTAAGACAGAAGAGAAACATGCAGCTGAAGGAAAATTTGAGGCCAAGGAGAAAGCCGACGTACCTTGAGAGGCCGAGCCCACCCCGATACTCTCCCTTGTGGCAGCAATTGCCATCTGCTGCAGTGCTGCCTCCCTCCCATCCCCACGAGTCCCTGCACGGCCACAGGGGAGAGGCGTGGGGAAGTGTCGGTGTTGACCCTAGCGCCCCTCCCCTCCACCTGCAATGAACACAAGCAGAGATAGTCAGTGTGCAGTCATAACACAAGACTGAGATGGCAGCTGGGAATCCAAACGCAGGGAAGTGGAGGGAAGGGGCCACTGGTGGAGAGAAGAATTACAAGCCACAGACCATCAAGGGAAACCTGAAAAGTGAATTTGAAATTAGGGGGTAACCTGAGGGGAATGTAAGGGTTAGGGCGGGCTTAACCTGAGGGGCTTAGCAACAGAAAGGGGGGTGGTGGTCTGTGGCTTGCAAATCAGGACTCAACCAGTGGCAAGCTGTCCAGGGAGAAAACACGGGAAGCACATGCGAAAATGAATCAGCCAGCAATGTGAGGAAAGAGCACATGAGCAGCAAGCAAGGTTGAGTCCAGGGAGGAGGCACTTAGCTGGCAGCTGAAGATGTTGACTCGTTCCCTTCCCTCCCCTGCTCCTTGTGCACTTCCCCCCCCCTCTGCCCCCTGCTGCTGCTGCTGCTGCTTCCCCTGGTGACTAGCGAGTGACCTGGAAGGGGCAGAACGGAAGGAAGGACAGGGGGCGAGTGAGTGCAGGCCTTGGCGCAAGCAACAGCGAAGCAGAAAGTTGAGCAGCAGTGGAGGCACTGATGCTAAGAGTGAAAAGAAACGAGCAGCAGAAAGCGAGGTTGAGGGCAAGGAGAAAGCCGACGTACCTTGAGAGGCCGAGCCCACCCCGATACTCTCCCTTGTGGCAGCGATTGCCATCTGCTGCAGCGATGCCTCCCTCCCGTCCCCACGAGTCCCTGCACGGCCACCGGGGAGAGGCGTGGGGAAGTGTTGGTGTTGACCCCAGCGCCCCTCCCCTCCACCTGCAATGCACACACGCAGCAATGGTCAGTGTGCATGAAATGGCCGCAACACCACCACAACCCAGAAAATGCAAAGTCTGGAAGTGAAAGAAGGGCCACTGGTTGAGGCAAGGCCACACGCCACAGACACCAAGGGAACCTGCACCTGAGGAGGAGACCTGCATACCTGAGGGGATTACCTGCATACCTGAGAGGGTTACCTGAAATGTGGGGGTATGTGTGTGGCATGTGAACCGCGCTCAACCAATGGGATTGTTTTAAAGCACAACTGGCAAACGAAATGGCAGCAAGGAAAGCGCAATGTGGAGGGCAAGGGTGAGTGCATCGAACTGGTTACTTAGCTGAGCGTGAGAGCGAGGTCAAGGAAGCTGAAGCACCACCAGATGCCTCCCTCCACGGCAGCCAAACTCCCAGCCTTCCCAGAGATGCTGTTCCGCTCCCTCCTCTCCCCTGCTGCTTGTCCACTCCCCCCTCCAAGTGATGCCATCAGTGTGACCTGGAAGGGGGCAGAAAGGAGAGAAGGAGGCGAGTGAGTGCAGGACTTGAAGGGAGCAAGTGCGACCACAGCAGGTAAAGGCAACCAAGGACCCACAGCAAAACGAGAGAGTGGAAGAAAAGAGCAGGAAGAAGGCTCACCTTGAAATGCCAAGCCCAAGCCCATACTCTCCCTTGTGGCAGCGGGATTGCCATGCTGCAGTGCTGCCTCCCTCCCGTCCCCTCCCAGCGCTGCCTCCCTCCCTCCCTCCTGCACGGCCACAGGGGAGGGGCACGGGGAAGCGTCGGTGTTGACCCCAACGCCCCCCCCCTCTACCTGCAACGAACATGCACAGAGCCTGTCAGTGTGCAACCACGGAATCAAGCTGGATTGGCAACTGAGAGTTTGAAGGCAGCACAAGCGAGGGGAGGGGCCACTGGTGGAAACACGACCCAAAGCCACAGAACTTAAAGGGAACCTGAGGGGATAAACCAGCTGTAGGGTTTGTACCTGATGGGGCTGTAATGTCTAAGAAAGGCTTAACCTGAGGGATTTACCAGGAGTAAAGGAAAGGTCTGTGGCTTGTGAACCGGGCCCCAACCAGTGGCAAGTGTTCAGGGATAAAACACAGAAGCCCATGCGAAAATGACTGAGTGAGCAACATGAGAAGTGAGCAGCAAGCAAGAGTGAGTCCAGGGAGGCGAAGCACTTAACTGGCAGCTGAAGAACCGCCGAGAGCTGCTGCCTCATGTCCCCCTCCCTCTCCTCCCCTCCCCTCCTGCTTCCGCGCTCCCCGCTGCTGATGCTGCCGCAACTGGTCCCGTCAGCTGTCTCTGCTGCATTGCAAGTGACCTGGAAGGGGGCAGAACGGAAGGGAAGGCCAGAACGGGAGTGAGGGCAGGCCTTAAAACAGGCAAGGGTCAAATGAATGAGCGCGAGGGGGGAACTTAGCAGAAAACGAGTGCAGCGGGTTAGAGAGGTAAGAGGCTCACCTTGATAGGCCAAGCCCATCCCGATGCTCTCCCTCGTGTTGAAGCTGCTGCAGTGCTGCCTCCCTCCCGCCCCCACGAGTCCCTGCACGGCCACTGGGGAGGAGCGTCGGGAAGCGTCGGTGTTGACCCCACACCCCTCCCCTCCACCTGCAATGCGCACACACAGAGCTAGTGAGAGCACGGTGGTGGGAGCAAGGTGAATGGGTGAATGAGCACACAGCGCAAGAGAAGAGGGAGGAGCCACTGGTGGAGGCACGGCCACAAGCTACAGACCCAAGGGCACCTGAAAAAGAACCTGAGGGGTGTACCTCCACCTGAGAGGGATACCTGCACCTGAGGGAACTACCTGAAGCAGGGAGGTCTGTAGCATGCGAGCTGTGCCCAACCAGTGGCGTTGTTTCAAGGGGACGGTGCAGCAGCAGATGAAACAAAGGAAACGGTGTGGCAGGCAAGGGTGAGGGCATGGAGGAACGGGTACTTAGCTGATGGCGTGAGAGCAGGAGGCAGTTGAAGCAGCGTGGGCAGCAGGCATGGCATGGCGTCTCAGGCGACCAGCAGCGCTGCTCTTGAGCTCCTGCAAGGGGGTGTTGGAAGGGGGGGAATGGGAAGGGAAGGATGGGGATGGGAGGGGAGGGAGAGGCAGTGAGTGTGAGGGAGTCATGCATGCAAGCTCCGTGAATTGAAGAAGAGCGAATGGAGGGCCACTGGTGGACGCACACTCTCAAGCCACAGACTACGGTCTTTACCGAAGGGCTTTACCTGGAAAAGGGCTTTATCTGGGGGAGGGCTTTACCAGTAATGGGGAGGGTCTGTGGGCTGTTTCGTGTGCTGCCATCAGTGGTTACGTTTTGAGAGAAACAGAAATGATGGAAAACGAAGCGAAAATGAATGCATGGAGGAGCGAGCACTTAGCTGGTTATGTGGTTGTGTGCAGAGGGCAGGTGGAGCACGTGCCGGCACCACCAGGCGTTGTCTGCTGCCGCCAGTGGCTTGAGGCATGAGGAGAACGCTGATGCTGCCCCACGTCCGTCCGCCTGCCACTGCTGCTCGCGATGAGGCCTGGAAGCGGGGGAGGGGAAGGAAGGGGAGGGGAGGGGAGGGGAGGGGAGGGGAGGGGAGGGCAGGGGAGGAAAGGTGAGGGGAGGGGAGGGGAGGGGAGGGGAGGGGGGGGGAGGGGAGGGGAGGCGAGGGGTGCACAAGGAAAGGCAGTGAGTGGGATGGGATGGAGGCACAGTGCAAAAGAGAATGCATGCAAGCGTGGTGAATTCTAGAAGAGCGAAAGGAGGGCCACTGGTGGACGCACACTCTCAAGCCACAGACTAGACTACGGTCTTTACCAAAGGGCTTTACCTGGAAAAGGGCTATACCTGAGGGAGGGCTTTACCAGTAATGGGGAGGGTCTGTGGGCTGCTTCCTGTGCTGCCACCAGTGGTTCCGTTTTGAGAGAAACAGAAATGACAGGAAATCGAAAAGTGGGTGGATGCAAGGAGGAGCGAGCACTTAGCTGATTATGTGGTGGTTGCTTGCAGAGGGCAGGTGGAGCATGTGCCGGCACCACCAGGTGCTCTCTGCTGGCGCCAGGCGCTGATGCTGCCTCGCGTGGTGAGGTGACTTGCGGCCCCACGCCCGTCTGCTACTGCTCCTTGCAAGCAGCAGCCGAGTGACCTGCACAGGAGTGAGGGTCGGAGCGAATGCGGTGAGAACACAGTGAGGAGGGGTGATAGCAGCAAATGCGTCGCAACTGAGGAAGGAAAGGAGAAGGGGGACGGGGGGGGTGGAATGGAGGGAGGGAGGGGGAGGCCCATGACACACATGCACGATGCGAGCGAACAGCGAGGGAGACAGAGAGGAGGAGGGGACTGACGCGTGCACGCAGCGACGACTGCTAGTCTAACCTACCCCAACCCACTAGCGACTCTGCTCTATGCAAGCGGCTCAGGCAAGCGCTGTGTGACATGGGCTCCCCGGGGGGAAGGGAGGATGGGAAAGATGTATGGCATGGCGTGCAGAATTCGAAAAGCATGGTAAAACGAGAAGTGGTACAAGGGGAGCGGGATGGGCTGAGCACTTAGCTTCAGGGACGGCGTTTGACGGCGTCTTGGTTGGTGGTGCGCGTAGCACGCGAGTGGCATGCATGTTGTCACAGATGTGCACGCTGTCTGGGTCACTCAGCTGGTTGCCGCGTTGCTTCCTTCTCGCCTTGCGATCACGCCTTGCACTGAAACAACAACAAACAAGGTCCGTCAGACGCTGAAATCGAATCCGCGCAAACGAAAAGACTTTCTGCACGCACAAGGACAAGCAACGGTTTCCCACCTTAGATTGCAGCAGCAGCTCGGACCGCAGTAGCGGTCTTGAGAACATCGCGTTTCGCCTCGGTCACACGTTTGTAAATGGCGAGAGGACACCTTCGCGCCTCAGGTATATGATTTCTGCACATGACGGAAGAAATGTCAAGGATCGAAATTGTGAAGAGAGTATATGAAGCATTAGACTAAAGCTTGAAACACTGAACACGACTTTTACTACTTACAAACGCTGCTTCAGCAACTCGTATTGCGGCAAAGCCAAAGAGCACATCCCCGATCGTCAGCTTAAAAGGATGCTTCAGTTTTCTCGCCTGCAAAGGAACAATGCGCTAGTCAGAAACGAGCGAAAAGCGATGAGAAACGGGTAAAAACGTAAGCTGGAACGTAGGGAAAGATTACCTTAGTCCAAACGCGTTTCAGTGGTTCGGAGCTCCGTGAAGCGTGCAGCGAGCCTACCAGTGAACCTCGTCGTTCTTGCGAGGCTTATCAAATAACGCGGCTGTAAATCATATGAGTAGATAGGTCGGTCGCGGTGAAAATGTGCTAGTTACGTAAACGAGAAGAGATGACTAGGAGACGAACGAGCGGAATGTTTAACAATCCTGCAAATGTCTAAACTGGCGATGTCAAAATGTCGCTCTGGAAAACCCCCAGTCGAAAAGTGGCTTCGGAAAATCGCTGGTTGGAAATGTCGCTCTCTGAAAATGCCTGGTCTGGTTGGAATTCCACAGCCAACCCGGGGTGAGTGAGGTGAGGGGAGACTGGGGTGTGGGAGGCTCAACTCTCGCGTTCACTGGTCGGCTACCGAAAGAAGACAAAAAAATGAGAGGTCCTCCTTGATTTAGGCCGCGCGGCTCGAAGGGGTTCGGACAAAGGGGTTTGGTATCTGGAGGGATGGCCGTTGGCAGCACAAAACGCGACTTCTTGCAAAACGTCGTTGGCCGTGAGCTAGAATCGTCGGATCGATTTCTTGCAAAACGGATACACCTTGTTTCTCGACCCTCTCACCTTGCGCGATTCGCTGCTACAGTGCGGTCAGGTGCCATAAACCGTATGGCTGAAACCTGCGGGCAAAGCCGCACCAGCTGACGGAGTGGTACTGGGGGCAAAATTTTTTCTTTATCGCTGTATACCCTTTTCAACCGCTTTGAAACGCTTGTTTAATTTTCTTTACCATGCAGCATCCTAGCTAACCGCTTTTCTTGTGAATGTGCTTGTACCGTCGGTGATAAGACCATTTCAAACGTGGTGACGTTCTACAACCAGTGCATGTTCTGCAACCAGGTGCTCTGCTAGCGCGAAACAGGGTGTATACGGATTAGATTGACCCAGTGGACGTTGCGGATAGGCGGGAACAGCACACCGTCGATTCGAAACGAAACACACGGACTCGCGCGGGTTTCCGGGCAAACAGATAGCCAATGGAATGTGAGGAAGGCCAACCGTTGGGAGGAAATGGGATGGGATGGAGTTGGGGTTGGATGGGCTTCCCTGCTCTCTCTGCCTCTCGGGGAGAACCTAGCAGATTGGAGTCAGGTTGGGGTAAGGAAGCACTGTTGAGGAGATTGGCGAAACGGCTCAGCGAATTCAATCATGAGAGTTTCAGGTATTGGCGAACTTGGCGAAGGTGTAAAAATTGTAGCTGAGCGTGTTACCCGTCCAGGCTGGATGTGGGCCCAGACCAGGACCAATCGGAGTGATACGGAGTCTGATCGAGTGTTGCACGTTCGACCTGATGTGGTAGGCTGACCTGACAGTTTAAGTCCTCTGTGTGACTCTGTCAGGTTGGTTTGAGTTGGGTTTGGTTCGGTTAGAATGTTGGCGACACAGGTGACAAAGTGGCTGGTGTGGACCTGCACACACTGTGATCTGGTTCGACATTTCACATATCTCTAGTGAAAAGGATTTAGTTCTAGATTAACGAACTGTAGCACAAATACATAATCACTCCTACATTAAAAAAAAAAGAGGATAGACATATGTGCAAATCTACCTGGGGATGGCGACAGTCAGCCAGCCATGTACCCCAATAGATAAAAGATAACCAAAAAAAAGGTTACAACTCCTAGCCAGGCTGAGGGTGTCTCACAACTTGAGAGTGAGATCCAAGGAAGCCTGGTTCAAACAGGGCAGTCAGAAGCTATGGGCATGAGATCCATGGGCGCATTGCTCTCCAGCTTTCTGCTGGCCATTCCCTGTGGTGTCCTCAGCAGCAGTAGCACAGCAAGGTACGCCGGCACAGGAATACAATACACGCTAGCAGCTGCACTGCTGTTCGTGAACCCCTTTTCTTGCACGTTGGGATCGGCCGCTACAGCCGCGCCTCTAGCGCCAGC